GCCCTGGTAGCCACACTGGGAGCTCTGGTGGCCACACTGGGAGCCATGCTAGCCACACTGGGATCCCTGGTAGCCACCCAAGCCCAGCTGGGAGCTCTGGTAGCCACACTGGGGGCCCTGGTAGCCACGCTGGGAGCCCCAGTAGCCACCCTGGGAACCCTCCTAGCCATCCCGGGCTTGATAGTAGCCACCCAAGGTCAGCTGGGAGCCCTGGTAGCCACACTGGGAGTCCTGGTAGCCAAGTTGGGGGCCCTGGTAGCCACCCTGGGCTCCTCAGTAGCCACCAGTGCCCAGCTGGGAGCCCTGGTAGCCACCCTGAGGGCCCTGGTAGCCACACTGGGAGCCCCAGTAGCCACACTGGGAACGCTCCTAGCCATCCCGGGCTTGATAGTAGCCACCCAAGGTCAGCTGGGAGCCCTGGTAGCCACACTAAGAGCCCTGGTAGCCAAGTTGGGGGCCCTGGTAGCCACCCTGGGGGCCCTGGTAGCCACACTGGGAGCTCTGGTAGCCACCCTGGGCTCCTCAGTAGCCACCAGTGCCCAGCTGGGAGCCCTGGTAGCCACACTGGGAGCCGTGCTAGCCACACTGGAGCCCTAGTAGCCACCTTGGGAGCCTTGGTAGCCACTCTGGGGGCCCTGGTAGCCACACTGGGAGCCGTGCTAGCCACACTGGAGCCCTAGTAGCCACCTTGGGAGCCTTGGTAGCCACTCTGGAGGCCCTGGTAGCCACACTGGCCCCCACAGTAGCCACCCAAGCAAAGCTGGGAGCCCTGGTAGCCGCAGTCAGAGCCCTGGTAGCCACGCTGGCCCCCATAGTAGCCAGTATAGCCCAGCTGGGAGCCCTGGTAGCCGCAGTCAGAGCCCTGGTAGCCACGCTGGCCCCCATAGTAGCCAGTATAGCCCAGCTGGGAGCCCTGGTAGCCGCAGTCAGAGCCCTGGTAGCCACGCTGGCCCCCATAGTAGCCAGTATAGCCCAGCTGGGAGCCCTGGTAGCCGCAGTCAGAGCCCTGGTAGCCACGCTGGCCCCCATAGTAGCCAGTATAGCCCAGCTGGGAGCCCTGGTAGCCGCAGTCAGAGCCCTGGTAGCCACGCTGGCCCCCATAGTAGCCAGTATAGCCCAGCTGGGAGCCCTGGTAGCCGCAGTCAGAGCCCTGGTAGCCACGCTGGCCCCCATAGTAGCCAGTATAGCCCAGCTGGGAGCCCTGGTAGCCGCAGTCAGAGCCCTGGTAGCCACGCTGGCCCCCATAGTAGCCAGTATAGCCCAGCTGGGAGCCCTGGTAGCCGCAGTCAGAGCCCTGGTAGCCACGCTGGCCCCCATAGTAGCCAGTATAGCCCAGCTGGGAGCCCTGGTAGCCGCAGTCAGAGCCCTGGTAGCCACGCTGGCCCCCATAGTAGCCAGTATAGCCCAGCTGGGAGCCCTGGTAGCCGCAGTCAGAGCCCTGGTAGCCACGCTGGCCCCCATAGTAGCCAGTATAGCCCAGCTGGGAGCCCTGGTAGCCGCAGTCAGAGCCCTGGTAGCCACGCTGGCCCCCATAGTAGCCAGTATAGCCCAGCTGGGAGCCCTGGTAGCCGCAGTCAGAGCCCTGGTAGCCACGCTGGCCCCCATAGTAGCCAGTATAGCCCAGCTGGGAGCCCTGGTAGCCGCAGTCAGAGCCCTGGTAGCCACGCTGGCCCCCATAGTAGCCAGTATAGCCCAGCTGGGAGCCCTGGTAGCCGCAGTCAGAGCCCTGGTAGCCACGCTGGCCCCCATAGTAGCCAGTATAGCCCAGCTGGGAGCCCTGGTAGCCGCAGTCAGAGCCCTGGTAGCCACGCTGGCCCCCATAGTAGCCAGTATAGCCCAGCTGGGAGCCCTGGTAGCCGCAGTCAGAGCCCTGGTAGCCACCCTGGGCCCCATAGTAGCCACCACGGACCACCTGGAAGCACTGGTAGCCACACTGGCCCACATAGTAGCCACCCAAGCAAAGCTGGGAGCCCTGGTAGCCGCAGTCAGAGCCCTGGTAGCCACGCTGGCCCCCATAGTAGCCAGTATAGCCCAGCTGGGAGCCCTGGTAGCCA